GTGTCCACAGGGAGCTGCATCCAAGGGGCCCAGACCTGGAGGTCACATCACCCACTTCATCTTCTGGATGGGGAGAACTGATTTGCGTCAGCTTTTTCTGCAGGGTCAGACAAAAGTTGCCAACTTCCCAGGCTGCTGCGTGTCCATGTTCCTGACCTGGGACGTGTAACAAGGAGTGACACTATGGTGGCCCATCACTGGAGCTGGGAACTCACCAGGCTGCCCTGCCCCACTCATTCCCCAACCCTTGGCTCCTTGCCCCAGCCAGAAGCGAGTACATGCCACCTCCCTCACTTCTTCCTTTTTTCACTTTTCCTGTTTAGCTCCCACCCACCTGACAGAGATGCCAGCAGGGCTGGCAGGGACCCAGCACTGCCTTTGCACTTTGCCAGAGGAGGCTGCAAGTGGCAGTGGGTGGGTTCTGCAGGTGGCAGAGCCTGTTCTGCAGGGATGCCTCTGTCCTGCCATCTCAGGCCACGTCCAGGGTCAAGCTTGTCCCCCTCATCCCACACCTAATGGGTCACAGGAGGTGCCACTGGCAAAGGAGCCCAACTCCCTTTACAGGGCACCAACTGGAAGCAAGTTGGCTGGTGCCAGAGAGGTTTGCAGGGCAAACATGGACAAGCACTGAAGTCCTGCAGCTGAGCATCCCCTCCATGAGTACTCTGTTCCCCAATGGCCAAGAGCTGCTGGATGAGTGCTTTCCCAGGCTGCACTGCCTGGGGGGGCTGCAGATCTTTCCCCTTCTCTCTGCTCTTGGTGTTGGTTCCTGTACAGACATTTTGCCAGATGAGCTTTTGTGTGTAGCTTCCTCATCCTCTCCTTCCTCCTGTAGGTCTTTATTCCTTCAGCTCTAGCATCTCCACCACGACCAGTGGTGGTGGTGGTGATAACTCACTGTTTTTGGTGAGGACAAAAGAGCTCTTGCAAAGCTCAAATTCCATCTAAGAGCCATGGCTGGCCATGGGGAGAATGAAGCCCCTTGAAGTTTCGGGGAGCAGTGCAGAGGGCTGCTCAGGCTCTTCCTGCAGTTCACCTGCCCCACAGGCGCTGGGCTGGATTTCAGGCAGGGTGAGCAGGCCTGTGTCTCTACCACAGTTATAAAGAGCTGCCTGTAGCAGACAAGTATTTTGTCTGTGCCTTTTTATCTCACAGGCTGGCTTGCCTCCACCTCTCGCTGTACTTTGAACAGCAGGTGAATCATGTTTGGGTAAGTCAGTCATCGCCCTGCCGCCAGCTCGTCCTTTCATAACGCACAGACGTCACGGCTTTTAAAGAGGTCAAGTTGTTAGTACTCAGCAGATTTGTCACCCAGAAACCTGTCCTGGTGGATCTGCCAGATCAAATTGCAGGTTTTCCTTTGCAAGAAGCCTGGCACCATTTCTTTGTGTGTTTTAGGAAGTTATTGCAGTGGGGTTTGGGGAGTAAAGAGCAGACACAGAGTCCTGGAGGGGTTTACAGGGGAGAGGAGGGTGCTGTGAAAGGTGTGTATCCTTAGGCTCATTTTTGTGAAAATTAATCCCAAGCAGTTTAGTGAATAAAGCTCTGCTATAACTTCTAGCTGCTAATTTACATAACAAAAAGTTTTAATTTACAAATTTTCAGAAAGGAAGGACAAATTGCAAAAGGATGCAGCAGAGAGAGGAGCAAGTGCAGGTGCTGTGCAGGGAGCAAGAGCAGAAGTAGGAATTTCACCTTCCAAAACACCTCTCACTTGCACAACTCCAGTTCCATTTGGGTTTTGCTTTTCTTCTTACTCAGTGCAAAAATAGAAGAGTGGTTTCATAGGAAACCTCTGCCCAGCACTGTGCAGAGATTAGCAGATCATAAGCAGGGCTGCAGGAATCAGCTTTTCTGGGAAAGTCAGGATTTCTAACTGTTTCCGTTTTTTAGTGGAATGAAAAAGCAGCTTGAAATTTTCCATAAAGAAGGTCAGTTAGGAACAGAAGAAAGATTTCTTTTTGATCTCTACCTTAAAGAGCCTTGTTTCTCTAATAGGACGCTTTATATAATAAAGCTCCCAGAAAAGTTTCGTCACAAAATAAAAGTCCAACCTTTCTGTTCTGAAATCACTAGCATTTATAGAAAAATGCCTTCATTTGTGGGCATCTCTGCATGAAATGGTGGGGCAATCAGTTCTTTTTCCACACCTAAGCTCTCTGGGCATTTCTGCTGCTATGAGGCTCCAGACAGCCACGTGCCTTGTGGGATACCTGCAGGTAACCCCCAGGAGCTGTCAACAGGGGCAGCACAGCCCCTCCTGCTCCCCAAGGACCAGCCAAAATTATTATATAAAGAGGAATAAATTTTTGTAAACAAGACTTGCTTAAGTAACTCCACAACTGCCAGTTCCTCTTGCTGGTCTTCTTTTCCTACTCCACCCTTCCAGAGCCTGCTGTGATGGGCGTTCAGCACAGCTCTGTCCACACTCCTCTCCCAGCCAGCTGAAGGCACATCAGCGCCAAGGAGCCCCCAGCTGAACCTTGCAGATGCTTCAAGCAAAATGGGGTGGTTAAACAGCCTGATGGAGTCAGAGCTCATGCCTGGGAAGCTGCCAGCTGTAATGTCTGTGGGCAAACACCCATCTCAACACACCGAGGTCACGGTGGGGATGTGTCCCTCAGGACAGCTACTGCACTGCTGTGGCTGAAGGTCCTCAGCATCCCCAAAAGCCTGATGTTCCACCTGCCTTTTTTCTCCTCCACTTAAGTGTTTTCAGAGTCCTTATCCCCGTGGCTGGCATGAATGTTCATGCTATACACCCATTCATGTCACCCGGCTTCAAGCCAGGGCTGAGATGAAACAAGGACTTGGGAAGACCAAACAACTTGAAATGGTTTTCACCACCACAGCTCTCTGGGGAAACTTGGCCAAATGCAGTCCAAATGAAGGCAGCACACGGGCACAGAGGGGAGCAGTCTGTGTACCAGGTGAGGTGCCAAAGGCAGGATGGAGAACCTCGGCTGCCGTAGGAGACACCTGGATGTTCGCCCTGCCGAACCCTGGATGTGTTTGGCTCTCTGCCCTTGTGCCACAGGGATCCAGCTACGCTTGTAATATTTGCACAGAATGTAGCATGGTGGCCTGAAGCAGGGACTGTAAAACAAACAGCAAACAGGAAAGCTCTGCCTGGCTTGGTGCTCACCATCACCCAGCAGTGCTGGTTGTACCCAACGCTGTCCCTGAGCACATGAAGATCCTGAGATTTGGGGCAGTGTGAGGACATGGCAGTGGGGTCAGCTGCAGACAGCCATATGCAAGCTCCACCCACTTTGTGAGCTGGGACAGAAGGCACGGAGGACAATTCTAGGGCTTTTAGCTTGTTAGGTAAAATATTTGTCCACTGGAAAGAAGAATCTCACTCCAGTAAGATGCAACACCTCTCAGCTCCACCTGAGCATCTACAGGCATGCTTGACCTCAGAGTCTGGCACAGCATGCTTGAAAATTTCCAACCTTTAACTTAAACAGCAAAGGCAAGGCCTCCACTTTTCATGGCCAAACACAGAGAATTTATTCCAAGATATTCCCATCCTATGGTAGAGTGGCTTGAGGGGACTGTAAAATGCTGCAACTCCATATACTATTTGAAAATAAGTTGTGTCTCGTGCAAGAGTCCTGTGTACTTGCACAGAGGGGAAAGTAAAATATGTAAAATAACCCCACACCGGATTATTTTACATTTATGTACCCAAGGGTTCATGGAGCAATAAGGAAGTTAAAATCAGTCTTTCCTTGCACTAGCCAAACCAACCCATTGAAACCCAGTTTAGCTTTGGGGGCTGTTTGTTTTTCTCATCTTCGTTTTCCCTTTAATCTTTGTGCTAGATAATTAAGACAACATTCCTCAGCATCTTTCCTGCTGTTTGTTGGGATTATACAAGAGCTGGCTGCATTTGTTCTGTGAAAACAACATCCAAAGCCACATTCTGTGGTTTTGAATAAAATCCTCTGCGGTGCTGACTTTAAATCTAAAGTTTGTCTGAAGTCTGCATTACTCAGGAAAATACCCATAAAAATAGACTTCTTAAGGAAAGCAAAGCAAGGCAGCGACGCAGCTTGTGCCCAAGATGCCAATGAAGATTTTATTGATGGTGAGACTTCTGGGCTTGACCTAATACCGCCGGCAGCAGTGGTGGGCCAGATGCTGGTCCTGTCCCCCACTCCGAGGTTCCTTTAGCTGCCGGTTGGACCCTGCCAGCAGCCCCTACCCCCGGCTGGTGCCCTCCCTGCCCCCGGAGCGCTCCGGGCCCCCGGTGCGCTCCCTGCCCCCGGAGCGCTGCGGGAGCCTTATAAAACAGCCGAGCTGTTATGAAACCCGTGGCCCCGCTGCCAGACGTTCCATCCCCGGTAGATGGCGGTGCCAGCTCATTTTTCCTAATTTTTTCCCCTTATTTTTTTTTCCTGGCGCTGCGCCCGGTGCCAGCCTCCGGCGGCTGCCGCGGGGCTAGGGCTGAGCTTACGTGTGGCCCCTGCGCTGGGGTCAGCACTGCAGAAAGAGAGGGGTTTGTCGGGGTCTTTTTCCCTCCTATAACTGCTCTTCGTCAGTTTTTGATAAATCTCAAATCAGGTATGACAGCTCCAGCACAGCCTCAGGCGTCTGGAGCCGCTTTCATGCAGCTCATCTGTCCCTGCTCAGGCTGCTCCATCCCACAGCAAGAGGCCTGCAGGGCATAGGGAGGTTTTTGGTGCTTCCTAACGTGGTGTGACTATGCAGAGCCAGGCAGCCAGAGAGCCTGGATTTTTCTCATCATGGTCTTGAACAACATCCACTCAGGCAGATCCCAGTTCCCCACCTACTGCTTTTCCTTGGCTGTTTCCTTCTCCGGAGGGGAGGCAGTGTGACCGGATGAATAAACAGCATTTCTCTTTGGAGCCCACAACATCTTTATTTGGCTAAGAGTGGCCCAGACGCCCTCCAGCACATGCTGCTACGTGTACATCACCACCTCCTCGGCGAGCCCAGGGCATCCGCTGCCACTCCAGCAGGGAAAGGCTAATCCTTGTCTTCCTGCTCATCATCTTTGTCACTGCTGCGGTCCTGGGGCAGGGACACAAAGAAAAAGGACAGCATGTGAGGGGAGTGCTGGGTGTCCCAGGCCCTGGTACCTCTAAGTATTCGACAGCATCCACACAGGGGGTTCAGGTGCAAACCCCACAGGGCTGGTGGGCAGTGGGGCAGCCAGGCCCCAGCATGGAGCTGGGGGGATTGTTACCTCCTCCAGGTCGCTGTCGGAGCTGCTGCTGCTGCTCCTGTCCTCTTCCCCATCTCCCTGCCAGGGCAGAGAGAGAGAGGGACAAGCATCACTGGGGACCCTGACACCCCATTTGCTGTTTGAGCTAGAGCCTTGAGACTCCTGGTCCTGTGGGTATCTAGAGCCAGGCTTTGCACCACTGGTGCTGCTGTGGAACCACGTGTGCCCATGGCCCTGCAGGGAACTCCAGAGCCAAGAGCAAGGATTGGGTGGCGTGTGCAGTGCGGGCAGCATCACTGTCCATGGCAGTATTTCATTTGGAAAGGAAAAGGAGGGAGAACTAGCTGAGAATATTGGGAGAAAAGAGACAGCTGTCTCTCAGTGGAAAAGCCACACAGAGTGTGATTTCTAGGCTGTGGATGGCATAGCTCCATCCACCACAGGCGTGGGGTTGCTGTGGGTCAGACATGGCTTCCCTTCACAGCCAGGATGAAAATGGTTCTGCAGAAAAATCCATCATTCCCCTACCTTTTCCTCTTCTTCCTCCTCCTTTCTCTTCTGCTTGTCCTCTTTTTCTCCCTCAGCCTTTTCCTTCTCCTTTTCTTCCTTCTCCTCTTTCTTGTCCTTTTCCTTCTCTTCTCTCTCCTTGTCTTCCCGTCCAAACCCTACAAGGGCACAGAGGAAGGTTCATTGCCAGCATCCAGCACACACAAACCCAGCAGGTCCCCCTGAGTCCGCACCAAACACTCACATTTCAGGATTGTCGACATTTCACTGAAGCCAAAGAGCTCTGGGGCACAAGATGGTCACACCAAAGGCACAGAGAGGACCTAAAGGAGCAGCTGGAGAGTCGAGAAAGGAGAAAGGTGAGCTTTTCAGGGGTGAAAACACCTCCCTGGACTGTTCAGTTTTTGCAGAGGTGCACTTACTATCCCCAAAAACAGCAGAGAAGGGGATCAAACAGTCTGTGGCCTCCACAAAAACCAGACCTTGTGCCCAGCCAGGCAGCCCCCATTTCCCGAGGGAAGCAGCAAGTGGTGAGTGATAGAGGCAGAGAAATCTCAGGGCAAATGGGCAGGGAGATGCCTTAAACCTCCCATGAGCAGGTACAAATTAAGGCAATATTTCATATTACATGAAGATGAAGCAATAAAGAGCAGGTGTGGGGAGTCCTAGGAATCCCCAGCAGAAAGGAGACCTTCTCAGGGGACAGGCTGATGTCAGGGAGGGAGATGGAGGCAGCAGCAAGCAGAAGACAAGCTGAGAGCAAGGGTAAGAAAACTCCAAGCATTGATTAGATGCCTGAATGGTGGCAGATGGGAAGAAAGGAAAGAAAACAACTTGCTTTAAAAATAGCAGGCCCAAACAAATCCCATGAAATAGCCCAGGCAGGTCAAGCCCTCCCTCTCATGCACAAAGAGCACAACAGGGCAGCAGGGGCAAAGGGATCATGTCCCTTCTGCTTGCAGGGAAGAGCAGGGTCCTTCCCTGCCCCAGCAAGTAATTAGGAAACAGCTTCTCTTCCAGCCAGTGATGGAGGGAAGCAGAATATTAGTGGGTTTTTCAATGGTTGGTATTAGTGGCTCTTTTAAAAGAGTCGGTTGCAGCCTCTGAGCTGATAATGTTGATTTGTATTTTCTAGACAGGTTTTTAAACCCCCAGGATGCTGCAGGGGAGGGGGAAGCAGTGGGGTTTGGGGTGGCATCAGGGGAGAGACAGGTTCAACAGGGAGAGAAGGAGTGTGGGATAAAAGACGTAATCAGTGCAAAGTTAAAATCTAATTAATAATGAACAGTAATCTAATTCATCTCCGTAATTAAGAACTGCAACTACTAATTGAAAATAATTACATTTTAATCTAAAATCATTAAAATAATCAAACGTTAACAAAAGAAAAGGCAGCCCCTGGGAAGGTGCGGGGAAGGTGCAGGAGGTGTAGCTGATGCCCTGATCCCAGGGTCTCCTCACCAAAGCTGCTCCACAGCTCCTGTGGTGTGTGCCCAGCCCCAAATCCAGGAAGATGCCCTTGCCTTGTGCCTTCACTGCCAGAGGGGAGCAGATAGGGAAGGCACATGGTACAGAGAGGTGGACATCAAGCTTTGCACTAGGAGATGGGCAACCAGACCAAAGCCCAGCAGCCAGGGCTGGGAAGGGGGTAGCACTGCCCAACACATGCTAAGAAATGCCTCTGTGGGGGTTACAAACCCTTAATTCCCTTCCACACCTGGGAGACCAGCCCTGCTGATTCCCAGGAGGTGGGGTAGGCTCCCACACTCCAGGGCTCTGACAAGCTCCTGTCTGGGGGTGCCACCCAGCCTCCCCCTGCAGCCATGGGTCATGATGGCTGCCAACGCTCAGCTTTTCCCCATCCCATCCCATCCCGGACTAGCAGATCCAGTTTTGCCTGTTCCTTCCAAGCCTTGGCCACCACGGGTTTCAAGCAGGCTGGTTCACCTGACCCAGATGAGCTGGTTCCCTAAAGCCTGGGCAGGCAAACCAGCAAAACCCAGCGACCAGCTGATGGTCCCGCTGACCAGCTGCATTGTCCTCCTTAGCCGAGCAAAGTGTGAGGTGCAGCTGGATCAGACCTCTGGCTAATGGATCAAACCTGCATATTCATACCTCTCCAGATGCGACAGCCTGGATGGCCTTACCCCCCAGGCACAACAGGCTCACAGGGCACAGTGAGCCCACTCCCATCTCACCCGAGGGACTGAAGTCCTTCCCACAAGGCTCAGGTGTGATGCCCCATTGCCATCCCCAACACCACATGGGGCACAAGCTGTCCTGCTGCACCCTCTGCTTCACCCTGCTCTGCTTCTCCCGCCTGTAAAATACATATGTGAGCCTGTAAATTCCCAGGATGACACGAGGGACAAAGGAAAGCGCCTTACCTGGTGCTGGAAAAGACAAGTGGCCTCCTCGATGCCTGGCTGGCAGCTGCCAGGGATCTGGGTATTTGAGTGTTGTGGTCTCCTCCCCAGTCCCACTTTTGGAGCAGAAAAACTGGCTCTGCCACCTGCCACGGACAGCACATGACACCGGAAACGTGACCTGTCCCATTGGTACCCACAGCAGGCATTGCCTCCAGCACGGGCAGGAGCAGAAAGACCTTGCAGCAAGCAAGTCAGGGCAGCTCTGGAGGCTGCAGACAGCCACGGGGACCAGCCCTGGGACCAGCGAGGGCACTGGGGACTCTATCTGGGGATGTGCTGTGGCCAGGGCCCTGCTGGAAGTGCAGAAAAGGGACTTTGGGGTTGTCCTTAAAACCACGGTGAGAGGGACCTGCAGCAGGCAGGTCCTTGCTCCCTCTCAGTGGGAGGTGTCAGGTGACTCCAGGAGATTCAGGTAAGACCAGACAAGGCAGAGCTCAGCACTCCCAGCTCCCTTCAGTGCTTGTCCTTGCTGCTGGCTTTCACTCCAACATATCATTAAGTAAATACCTGTCAGCAGAGAGCAGTTACCAGCAGGTCTGAACACTTGCATAATGTGCTCTCTCTCTAATGCAATGCCCTCATTTCTAACAGCACCAGTATGGGATAATAACAGTAACAATAATGTCAGACAGGCCTTGTGTACCCGGCTAATTTGTTTTCTCCCCCTAATCGGAGGTATTACCTCTCCCGTAAGATTTGCCCCATTTAACACCTTAAACTCTACAACAAAGTTGCTCCTCCAGTCATTTGACTTTCATTTACAGCAATTGCAGCGCGGAGCCCCCTCCCAGCAAGTGAGACTAACCCTGGGTAACCTGTGCAGGGAGCAACCAGCTGTACAGAAGTCACTTGTCCCAAAAACCTGGCTGTGTCTGCCCAAGGCCTCCTCCACAGCCCATACCAGCCACAAACTCAGAGCAAGAGTCCCCTTGGCAGGTTTAGATCAGAATTGAGGGATAGGTTTTAACATCAAGGGTGGATGAACCCTGGAGCAGCTCAGCAAGCCGGCAGCAGAGTCCCTGTTGCTGCCCACTTCACAATCAGTAGCTGTGGTGCTCTTACAGAGATGCTCCAGCTCACATACAAGTCATTCAGGGCACTCCTGCAGCCAGCACTCAGTCCTGGGATAAACAATGCCAGCAATCCTGCCTGTCCTGACACGACACAGCCACCAGGTCAGTGCAGCCAGTGGAGACGTGCACGTGGAGCACAGTGCAGGACCATGGAATAGATCCAGGGAGGATGTTGGGACCGGCACTGGCATCCAACTCCACACCTCTGAGCAGCTCCTGCCCCCTCAGGAGGATCCTCCTGCAGAAATACTGAACTCAAGATTATTTTTAACTGGTGATCTCACTGCTCATTCCCTGCCAAGCCCAGCTGGGCTCTCAGGACTCTGATGCCCCCAGCATCCTCCAGTTAGAGCCCAGGGCACAGCCCTGCCATCCCTTCCTGGACATGGGGACAAAGCATCACCCAGGGAATGGGCTCTCAGGGACCATCCCGACCATCCAGGCAGGCTGGAGCCACCGGCATCTCCCAGCACAGGGGTGGCTGCCACCCCCCAGCAGGACAGCAGAGTGGCAGCCACAGACATCCACAGGCCCACGGACCACACAGGCTCTTTCTCCCACCCTGCAGTGGGCACAAAGCTGCCATGGAAGGAGGGAAAGCAACCTGCCAGCACCCAAATCACCAGTGTGTGGCCAACACTGAGCTGCTGTCACAGTGCTGAGCTGCAAGGGACAAGGAAACCCCCAGAAAACATGAATTGGCACCGTACAGGCCACCTATGTCCTCCATTTCGGTGCCGAGGAGCCTTTGGCTACAGAACACCAGTCTCTGCTTAAATCCCATGATCACAAACCACTGTTTATTTAGGATCCAGCGTACACACCTGAGAAGGAAATGCCAGAGCTCTCCCCTTCCTGCCTCTGAGTCAGGCCATGTAATTTGTGCCGTGGGTGACCTGGGACAGTTGTCCCCTTGTTGTCACAGCCACCAGTGGCAGTGTAGCTGCTGCTTCTTCCCAACGAGGACAACTTCCCACTCTGTCACAGGTTCTGCTGCTACTGAACATTCAGGTTTTAATAATGGAAAATGAGTCCCTGGGAGGGTGGTTGGGCAAGGACTGGGAGCACGTCCCGAAGCCCATCGGCAAAACCAAACCTTTTTTATGTTTTCAACCTTTCCACAGCAGCTGCCAGGAAGCAGCTTTTACAGCTGACAGAATCTCTCCCAAGGAAAAAAAATAATTGTGGCAGGCTTTTATTTTTTTTTTTTACTCCTCCAAGTCACTGCCAGCATCTTAGCTGACTCTTATCTATTCTCAGCCACCTCTCACCTCCCCAAACACTACCAGAAGTGCTCAAATTACTGTCAGTTCTCATTAGGTTCAAGAGCAAGGCAAGGCCAAGCAGTAAGACCTCCAGACAGTTGGATGCTGAATTCTGATGAGTCCTTTGGGTAGGAAGGTTTCAGCAACTGTGGAACTGTTTTTGTTGTCTGTCTATTGCAGCCCTTGCACTGGCACACAAATGAAGCTGGTGCATGTTTGAGTATTGGCTGCTATAACAAAATCCAGGTGGGCACATGACTGAAAGAATTACCGTCTGCATCTTAAAAAAAATCACTTCATTTCCTTTAATTATTACACTATTCTGCACTAAAGCACTGCAGGTGAGTAGATTTTATCTGCAAGAAAAACAGCTGCTGCTTCATAAAAACCCCATTGCCTTTATTTCTTCTCTTCTGACATTTCTGTAAATTTTGGCTTTGTGGCAGGAGCAAAGCTGCCATTTTGCACTGATGCAGGAACTGGGAGTTCCCAGGAGGCAATACCCTACCATGAGAAAAGCCCCAGCTGTCCTGACCCCAGAGCTGCACCCGGC